ATTAATTAACTTATTTAACTTAAATCTTAAAAATAGACCTGTGTATCTTCATCCACAAATATTTATAAACAATTTATACATGAGGGAGTTCAGAAAATGATACAGGGTGATACTTGGGGAAATCCAATTCACTTCTGGTGCTTCCCCTGGCTTCAGAGGTGTCACGCCAAGGTTCTCCTGCACTCTGTGCCCTCCACCCACCAGCCTGCGGCCGCACAACCAAAGCTTCAAACCACAACCTGACTCCATTCCTCTCTCAGACCACAACTGACGTCTCCGTACGGTTTATGCCGTCAAAGCAACCGGGTGATTTCATCACTCTTAGAGCGTTTTGGAGTGGAAAACCCCTCCTGCGTGGATTACCAACCCAAGGGCAGGATGGTATGTCCACAGAAAGAGAGATTTCTAACAGAGGAATAAGATATTCTGAACTCTTCCCTAAAACCTCGAGCGTTTGATCACACATTGGTGAAGTGGTGAAGTCCTGCTTGTGTGTAAACCTTTAAGGAGCATCGCCACACTAACTCTTGTGATTTTAAGAACAATTATCTGTTATTTCTGTAGATCTTTTTCTAGCCTTGCAGTGAAATAAGAATTAAAATACATATGATCCTAAAAACTCCCTGGCTCTGGGAAGTTTTTCCCAAAACTTTCCTTGGGAAACTGTGAGAAAAAGAAGAATTCTGGCTATGAAATGTAATTTTTGAGACTTTTCCTTACTGGGAAAGTACGATGGGATGATGTTACATATTTTGGTCACGGTAAGCTTAAAAATTAAGTTTTTTAACCAGGACACTTTCACATAAAAACAACAAAAAAAGGAGCGAAAAAAATCACTCCTTATTCAGTGTATTGAAGTGACTTTCTCAAGTAGATGTTGGGTGTTTGGGCCATATTTCCAAAAAAAAAAGGTGAAATGGAGCAGGATTCCTCTGTAAGGCAGAGCTGCACCACGTGCCTGGTGGGCACAGGGACCACACAGCTGTGGAAGAGATGGGGAACTGAGAGAGAGCTCCGAGGAGGGCAGAACATTTTTGGTGAAAGATATTTGACTCTCAATTAGGTCATTTAAAAATATGACACCTTTTCATTACAGCCCAGCCATTTAAAAATGCTTCTGCTGTAGGAAAGTGAAGCGGTGA